TAAAAAAGAAACGTTCGTTTATTCTTATATGAGAGATATATTAATTATATATTTGATGATTAAGCTATAATTTCTATTGGCTACAATATGCCATATTATTCGTTAATAAAATTACCTCTTGTCGCGGTCGGCCGTTGTTTCGGTAATGTTGGGCTGCGGTACCGGATGATCATTGCAAACATTTTCCAAACTGAATTCGCTGGATATACCGCTATCGGATAGACTGCAATCGTCGCAAGCGGAAGAAGGACGTTTGGCTGTGTGCTGACTAGACTTCTCGGCGGCTAACGGCGCACCGGACGTACGCCACCGACCGAGTTGTAAAATTTTCCATAAGCACATACTATACTGATAATTATACTTATAGCAGTAGCGAAGGGTCGGGACACGGCAAAACGACACTTTTACGCGATAACCACAAAGCACCTCGCACGTGAACGAACATTAAAAACTGATGACGAAATTGCACCGGAGTGGCTAATTCCATTCCGCAACACGGAAATCCGGAACATTAACACGTCGACCGTGCTATTTAGAAGGTGCGCGACTATTGTACACTTAAGACTACCTGTCGGCACGGGAAGATGTAGCTTAATGCGGCCCATATAGTTTTCACGTGAGGCCACTGTACGTACAGTATTATGATATTAGCAGACCATGCGCGAGATCCGATTGCTACCGTGAATAACCGTGAAAATATTATTATCGGTTTTTTTTATTGACGTCGGATCCTTGCAATTTTCTACGGACCACCAGTGCGATGATGCCGTTTCGTAGTCTGACTACTAAAATATATATTATATACATACAGGGTATCTTAATAAACCTCAAACCTATATAGTATATATTACTGTGTTAGCATTGAGCATAGTATGCTACACCGACATTTGTAGACACCTTAGATAGAAAATAATCCGAATGCCACTTTGTATTCTTTATAATGACAATTCATAATTTATACTGTATTAGTTGCGGAATTAAAAGAAAAATACCGAACAGACCTATTGGAACGGTGGAAACTATTTTAGCTGTGAGATCATAAAGTTTTCGTGTCAATACTTAAAAAGTTACTTTTTTATTTATTTGATCAGAGGCGTAGCTAGGATTTTTTTTTTGGGGAGGCCCACTATAAACCATTGATAAACAAAGTCATTAACATGATTATTGATTAACATGATTAACGTGATTATTCTTATTAATAATTAATTTTTTTTCTATAATATATATAGAAAATTTTGGGTAGGCCCGGGCCAACCAGGTCTACCTACTGGCTACGCCCCTGTATTTGACTAAGACAAATATTTAAAAATTTAGGTAAATAACTAGACAAATAGTACCTTTTATTTTTTGTATATTTTAGATAGCAAAAAAAAAAATTGATATTACGTACCTATTATGCTGGCAAAGAGTCGCGGTACACTTGAGGAAGATAGAAAGGTATAAAATCGATTTACTATACGAGAGAGACGGTCTAGTAGAAGTGTTTATAATCCTTATTTACAATATCCCATGGGTCATCCCTAAATTTCCATGTAATAAAACTTTGTCTTAGCCATTATTTCATTATCTATGGTCTCCGCTAGTTAAAACTTGTGGATTTAAGTGGATTAAAGTTAAATATATAATAGTACCCACGTTACCGTCGTTAATGTTATCAAAGTTATTTAATTAGAAAGAAAATTGAAAAGAAAAAATGCAACCATTTCACTGTTATAATGGTCACGTTATCGCACTAATTTATAATCTATTATGAACTCATGTTTTTAAATAAACCCGTGTAAGTTCTCGGCGTACCGAAAATTGCTGACCAGCTATTATAATTTGCATTTAATTAAATCATCGTCATATTATTTTAAAATCATTGTAATATTTCAATTACATTATTTATGTATGTAATATGTTGGACTCGACGTGACGTCACCCTGTATACATGTGGATTGCGGTTATAACTTATAATATTACATTTGTAGGATCGTTTTCATCGATAGGGTATGCCGTGGAAAACAACCGAAACAAATCTGTTTTTTTTTATTATCCGGCAGTTATCATTGTATTATTATTTATTAACTGTAGGTATTATTATATTTTAACTGATGTTTACACGGAAGAGACAAATTTCTGCGATTTCGTATATTAAACATAAAACAGATAACCCCACATTTTGTTTATTATTTACTCGCTTATAGCCAGGATATATTACTTTAAAAATTTGTTTTCATTCTTTATTATAATTTCAAAAAGTAAAGAAAAGTCGATTTGAGGCTTAGTATGGACGTAGTGTAGTGAGCATAGTCAGGTATGTGCTTTTACAAAAGTGTAAGCATTTTCATAACTCAGAAAGATAAAATAATTTACAAATAAAACGCTTTGACGCGAATCTGTAGATGGTACAAATATCATAAAAATCATTAAAATCCTTTTTTTTTTTTGAGATTCTGCATATATACAATATATCTTAACAATTACATATATTTAAACAATAGAAAAATGGCTAATAGATGTATACAAAATTAAAACAAAATACATTACATAGTAAAACCAGCCTCGGTAGTAGGTAATGAAGGAAATAATGTGTAGGATGGAAGGTTCGGAATTGGAATTGAGCATAGAATGGATATTAAAAGAAATGTTTAAGGATGTAAGGAAATTAGCTAAAATAACCCGTTTAGGGGACGGGGGGGACAATTAAAAAGGATATGAGGAAGATCGCAAATAGACTACTCAACGTAAAAAAGTCCTTAAAATACAATTTTAAGCATATCATAAATTGTATTTTAAGAGTTGGTCGTCTTCAAGAAAACTTTTTCCCATTAGGCAGTCATTTTCCCCATTTATTACTTGATGTTAAACAAAATTACTTAATTTATTGTAATTATATCTTCATCAAAATACGTTTATTTTAAGAGGAAATCCATCTGCCAAATGGTCTGACTTTACTTAAGGTGTTAAAATTAAACTAGAGGTATTAAACACAGAAAAAAGTACATTTTAAACAGTTTATAAAAATCAAGCATTTTGACTAAAACCGACGACTTGAGATGTATAATATTGTGTTCTATGTGATTCCAAAATTTCATAACTCTAAAAAATAAGATAGTTAAAGGAATAAGTGAGTTTTACACCTAATATTATGGACGTATGGTGTTCTATTCATGTAAGTCAACAATATTATTTAAAATCAGGATTTCTTTTTACATAGCACAATTGCTTTGATGATAACTTGTTCGAATTTCCCATGAGTCTATAAGTTAGAACATGTTAAATATGTATGTTATACTTTTTTTTCATGATTGCGATTTACCATTTGATACTTAAGATATAACAATTCGACAGCTGATAGACATTTACCATTTCAGACATAAAACATTCTGTAATATTGATATCCGTATCGAAGACGGCGGATGATTTAATATTATATTTTTGGTGTGTACAATATTGTGTATAAAAAAACTGTATAAATTGGCCTAGATTATTATTAATCTAGGGTATATTTTGTTGCTAGATAAGATTTTGCACAAGTCGTATGAAGTGTTGAACTTAATAATACTTTTTTTTAACGGTATACAGGCTTTAATACTGACATTTGGAACTTTTAAGCTTAGGATATTTTTTTATCGTTAGTTTAGATGTTTGTAAAATATATCTATTCGATTTTACTCCGGCGGCAAACAAAATCGTTATAATATACCTGTAATAGATTCTGCATAAGACAGTCTTTCTGGTATCGTGACCTGATTCAGTCCGGCGGTTTCTAGGAATGGCGTGCAAGGTCGTGATCACCGATGATAAATTTACCTACATATAAACGAACAGCAAACGTATAGGTTATGTGTTCGCGTTGATGTTTTATTGATTGGCCGGAGATAATCGAACGGAAAACGTTTTTTTTGCGGTCCATCTACAGAACTCAAGAAATTGTATGGTGAGCGTTATTTGCTCGACTCATAACCGTGGAAAACGGGTTAGTGGCAGAGCACGGTTTGCTTTATTGTTGTTATTGGAAATGTGAATGAGAAGACCAACGACAATATAACAATGTGTATAATTGCTGTATAAAAAGAGAAAAAGAAAGTATAAAAAAAAAACGAATTTTAAGTATGACTTTAACGTATATTTCATATTAACTAAATTTTAGTACAATATAATATAATTAAATATCGTTTTTACTACACAAACATAATTTTTTTTATACTTATTTTATTAAATAATAATATATGCCGTCGAACCAAATGCGTACACAATATAATATTATTATTACACGCGCATTTGGTTCCGACGTCTGGACAATGAATTTTGGTTTACACAAAATATAATATTATATTAGTATAAATACATTATAATATTTCTGAGGAACCGAAATGAAGAATAATTATTAACATTAAAATGGCTAAAATTAAAAAAAAAAACAATCGTTTACCGAAATTTTACAATTTACACGGTTTAAATATAATATAATAAATATCAATTTGTTTTTAATTACAATTTTTGTTTAAAACAATTTCATTTTTTTTTATTGTTATCTTTTTTTTTGAGCAACTTAAAATAATAATAATAATAATAATCGTGTTTGGGAAGAGCGTATGTATTAATATATTATATTGTTAGAGTAAAATGTTAATATATGTATTATAAAAACAAATACCACACGGAAAAAAATTGAACAAATATTAAGCGTAGGTATAACACAAACTTAACACCAAAAATAAAAAAAGGAACACAATTAAGAACATTATAATTATAAAAAAAAACAGAGCTGATTTTGTATGTAACAATAAAAACATAATCCATATTAAAAACTGTCTTTGTGTATAATATGTTTGTAAGTTTGTAAAACCGAAAACTGTAAATCGTTATTAATCATATTTATGATATTTTTATTATTACCGTATTCAATGACTACAAATCAAACTACATGTATAAGATTATTTCTATTGTATTATTATTATTGTTATTATGAATATACGATTAATATTATTTATTGTTATGTAACTATTGTATTGAATTGCGTAAAAGTTATAATAGTATTATTACAAATTATTAAAACAAACTGTGTACTTTATTTTATAATATTATACTGCGACTATTGTAACGTAAATATGCATCAGAACACGGAAAGCTAAAAAAACATAAGTTATTGCAACGAATCAACACTATACTTGTAATAACAATTGTTTTAGTTATTACTGTAAGAGAAAGAAAATTGTCAACTGCAATGTAATAAATATAATTATTATTACTAGTGAGTTCATAGGCTAAAACGGTCAACTGAAAATATAGTTAAAACATGAACAAAAAAAAACATAAGTAAATATTAAATAATAAGTAATAATAAAGAGGTTGTATAACTGGAACGAAAAAAAATAACTGAACAAAGAAATAGATTTTCGGACGACTCATCGTCGACCAAACCAAATAATAATTCAACGAACGGACAAAAAAAACCTAAAAGAAAACGCCGTGTAAAGTATTTTGTTGTAAGCATCACACTGCGATGAAAAAAAACCGTTTTGGTCATGGAAAACTGTAAGTTATTAAAAATTATTTTATTTATCATTACTATATAAACGGCACTATCCTATCGACTATTGTATATGTATGTATAAGCTACTTATGAATTACAATTATATTATTATTGGGTATTGTTGTATCCAACGGATGAGACAATAAATATGAAAACTATTAATAATTAAATGAAATCTTATCGGAATTATAATAATGAAAAAACAAAATCGAATAATAAAAAACACAAAATACGGAAGTAGGATAATTATTAATGTATGTATTATATTATAGAAAACATATAAGCGAAAAAAAGAGTATAGTATAAGCGGCGACGATTGCGGTCGGATTTAATACCTAACCCTGGAAATTGCTGCTTCCTTCTCGTTGAAAGGAATTGAAACCCATTAACCTTCTTTGTCGGGTCCGCAATACTACGGTGGGACATATAAGAAAGGGAGTAATAGGTAGAAGAATGTAGTATTTTATTTTTATTATTTCTTTTGAAACAGTATCATTCGATCCCAAAATTAAACATTTTACGTTTTGTGTACCGTAAATCTGTTCTATCTACTGTTTTGATTATGAGTGTAAAAGTGTTTGTGTGTGGACCAGAAGTCGAATAAAATGATTCATCTATAGAATCGTCGACGTTCCGGTTTGGGCTATTGCGATTACAAGAAAAAAAATCTACTATACAGATGCGTTTACGCCCGTTTAGGGGCCGATTTTTGATCTAGCGGAAATCCTTCTGTATAGTATTTAATAATATAGTATTGTTGTGTATTTACATGCTCGCTGCATGCTTGGGCTATTGCGATATTCTTACATGTATGTGTATGTGTATGCAATACGCGATAAACGAATAAGTGGTTATCGAATGACCAATATAATAAACGAGTATAGAAATAATGAAGATATTCGTATATACAATATAATAATTATTTGGTCAAGAGACGTTGTGCCGGCTCGTTGTAGTCCGGATCGCGTATTCTGTCATTGAGAAATGTTAACTGTCATCCGTCAAATGGTACTGTGAGATCGATAATTAATTGTCATGTATATTATACATTGTTATATAATATCTATTTCGATAAATAATTATAATAAATAAACGTGTACCGCGGCTAATTGGTTTCAGAAAATTAAAAGAAAACATTTACAACAAACTCTTTTATTGCACGACATTAATATTATTATCATCATCAGAGCGTTCGATTGGTATTAATGAAACAAAAACGAAAAATTGATTTTTCCTTCGATAACAATCTATGGTTAATTTTATAGGACTAACACGACAGCCGCTGTGTGTGTGTAATAATTGGCCACTTAACTTCTATACTTCAACCGCGTGTCAATCTAATCGCGAATGCAAAAAGAAGTGGTGCACCAATTGTTATCGGTGAAATTGTAATGGTAGGACTTAGTTGCAACCTCGGTGAAAAAATTGAAGTATATTATATTATGTACAAGGCGGCGATTACTGAAAGAAGAAAATGAAACTAATTTGTATTATTTACAAAATAATAAACGGATGAAAAGTACTGTCTACTGATTATTATTATTATGTACAAGTTATGCGTTCTGTCGTGTTGTCCATAATGTGTTAAGAATTTGAGTGAACTTGTATTTGTTTCGTGTTTATTTACAAACTTGCCCTAATCATTAAAAAACAGTGACATGAACGCGATCTGAGAGAAGTTTTATAGAGTGTTTGTGAACAATGTATTAAAAAAGTTTACGATTATTTCTAAAAAAATGTCATCCAACGAAATAATGATGGAAAAAATTGCAAAATCCCCTAAATAAAACAAAATAATAAAACAAAGATAATAACCGAAACAAAATAACAAAAAGTTAACATAAACAAGTATTTCGTAAAAACGATAATTATTTTTTTTCGTAAAAATGAAAATTGAGTTCTTGATTTAAAAATTGTCCCGCAATATTTATTTATTCTTATAGCAATTAGGGGCGATCCTCACATATATTTTATAACACTATTATTATTATATTAATGTAGATTGATCAATATGTTTGTACATCTCATGCTAATAAAAATAACCACAAATATATATATAAATTACTGTACAACAAAAATTTGCTAAACTTCAAATGGGAAATAAAATATACTTTTGGTTAATTTTGTTTAGTTTTTTAAACGCGACGACATTAAATTTATACTTATAGATAGTTAATTTAAAAAAAAATGATATTATACAATATTTACACGAAACAGCCGAGAATTTTTTCTCAATAAACGTACGACGTTTATTGGGTTTTGGTAAAAAAAAACGAAACCGGTGAATCTAATTATTATTGTGAAAGAACACAAGTTCAGGCTGTCGAGTATCGATATAGGAAGTTAGCGCATACGCGCCGAGACCCGATTATTTCAATAGTAACTGAACCCTCATGGATTTAGGTGACCCTGTTGGGTGTTACCGAAAGCGAAACCCAGAGCCCTGGGATCACCGTGCAACCGAAGTGCTTGTTCCAGACGCTGTTCTTGGAGACGCAGAGCTTCGGACAAGTCGGGAGATACTTGTCCCTGGTGGTATTGTCCGTTCATCAGCTGGCCCTGTGCGGTCATGGAGTTATAGTTGATTGCGTTTTGCGTCTGATGTGCGGCGTTTTGTTGGGCCGACGCGGTAGTTTGCCTGGCCTGTTCGGCGACCTGTTGTTGCTGTTGCTGCTGCTGTTGCTGTTGTTGCTGCTGTTGGAGCTGCTGTTGTTGTTGTTGATGTTGTTGTTGCTGCTGGTGCTGTTGTTGCTGCTGTTGCTGCTGCTGTTGGCCGGACGACGCGGCAACGGCCTGAGTGACCGCCAACCGGAGCGCCGCCTCGGCTTGCGACCGAAGGATGGCCTCTTGCATGCGCAACGTTGGCGACGACTGGTCATGGTTGGACTGCTGGTGGTGCAACATAGACTGATGAGTCGTCGGTTGGTGGTGTCCGCTGAGTCCGTCCACCATAGACGACATGGACGCCCTGACGGCCGCGTTCATGGCCAACTGGACGGCCGATTGCATGGAGTTGACGGACGAATTGGATGCGGATCCGCTGCTATAACAAAACGACATCGTTATTCGAAAAACCGTAAAACAAGTCGATGATATGAAACAACGTAATAAGTATACAATACCTTGAAGTGGTCACTAACGGGTTTTGATGCATGGCGTTGGATTGGGTGATGCGCATAGCGGCGGCCGCCAAGTTAGCGGCCGCGGCCTGGACGACGGACGCCGGCGTTGGAGGTACGGTACGCGGCGAATGCGGAGGAGACGGCGGGTTCTGTTGCGCCACTTGTGAGACGGCCGCATGAGCTTGCTGTTGGCTCATAAATAAAGCGGCCGCTCGCTGTAAGTCGTTGGCGTTGTACTGGGGCTGCTGGTTCATGTACTGGTGCCCTCCGTTTCCCACTGAAAATAAGCATTTCTCGGTATAAATACGTTTATCGAACTTGATTCAACGCGAATAAACTATTATCGGACACTCACTCATGCCACCGGTCCTGCTGGCAGCCATTAGCTCAGCGAGTTTGACGGCCGTTGGGTTGTTGTTATTGTTATTGTTATTGGTGGTACTATTATTGTTGTTGTGGTGCAACACCAACGGTATTTGGTTGTCGGCGGGAGACGCGGTCAAGCGACCGCCGTTGCCGGATGTGGACAAACTGCTCTGGAGCGCGCCGGCACTCAAGGCGGTACCGCCGACGGAACCCGGATCGCCGCTGCCGGTGCCGTCGACGTCGCCGTTATTAGACGACGACGAGTCCGAGTGTACGGAATGCGGTGAGATGGGCCCGCCCATGCTGTTGGTAGCCGTCACTGCGGCCAAGAAGTTCTCGCGTTCTCGGCGTTCTGCGGCCGCTCTGCTCAGAACGTACTGTGCGGCAAACTGATGTTTAGGGTCCATGCGCATGTGTTCCATGTGAGTCAAAAGACCTGAGAAACGATTTTGAAATTGTAAATTATTCATAAATCAAAAGACCAACGATAATAATGTGAAAGACGAGTGAAAGAATTGGGTAGTAAGGCACAGTGTGTTAGGGCTTACAGTCACCGGTTCGACATCGGCGGTCTCTCTTTGGTCCGGTAAATGTCTAGAGAGAGAGAGAGAGACTACCATTCTCCCAATAGGCAACCGAACTAGGTCTTATGCTCGGTCAATAAAGCCATAAGCAATAATAATAATAATGATAATGGTAATAATATTGACTCATTATATACATCGTGCGTTATACGATCGTGGCTGTATAATAGTAATAATATAGTTTTTCAACACTGTTGATATCAGAATACTCGGATGGTTACCCAGGCCACGAACTTAAAAACACGATCGTGGTTATCATTATTTTTGTTATTATATGCAGATGAAAACGCAGTGTGCGTATACGAAATTATTGGTACTTGGATTGTAAATACTATATCGCAAACGATAGATTGATATTGATAAAAACAGTGAATACAATATTTACTTAAACAGGACACTATAATAATTTTGTTATTATTTCAAACGACATGTGATATATTTAATATGTCATCGTTTAAGTCAGAAATGTCAACTTGCGACGATACGTAGTGGACGTATACCTTTATAAAGTTGCAGTACGGCAATATAGTGGTTATTATATTTTAAATGTAATATGCGCTCACCTGATTCGTGGGTGAACACCGCTTGGCACACCGAACACGGCCACATCCTGAGCTGGGCAAACTGAGCGGTTTCCGGGTGGCAAGCCAAATGCTTTCGAAGGCTGCCTTCGTTCACGTAGTGCTTGCCGCATACGGGACACGGATGGTTGGCCGTTCGGCGTTTGGCCATGTAAGGACCAGTTCCGATGTCCGAGTAGCCTAAAAGCGCATAAATAATAACGTTTAACGAAACAAATATGTAAAAAAATGAATTAGGGTTCAACCTCGAACCCAGCAGTATACACTATCGAGTACAACGAAAAACCGATAAACATAAGCCGCTATACTTCCTTTTTAACAATCCCCAACTAACTAACCAACAACATACGTATATCGAAATAATATTTTTTTATGACGGGGTAAAAAGTTAAGCAGTAAAATCATCGAAGTCATGATAAATACCTAAATGACTGAATTTCTTCTCCTGCATTTTCCACTCATTCGGTACGACGGCCGGCGACATGGGGGTCGGCTCGTTGTGGTGTGTCTTCATGTGTTCAACTAAGGAGTCGCTGCCCAAGAAAAGTTTGTGGCACAGCGGACACGACGTGGTGCTGGCACCGCCCATTAGCGCGGCGTGTTGTTGGAGCACGTCCATTCGGAGTTCGGCTTCCTGAAAATAAAAAAAATGTTCCTGAAATCCACAAATAAAAAAACAGTCATCAGACCAACGTATGTAACGGCGCGGCAATAAGAGGCGGTGCCGCCGGCAACGTTATTGTATTTTAAACATTAAGATATATAATACTATATGCATGTACACAAACATTAAAGTTGAGGATACGACGAAAAACAGCTTACTGGTTTAGTATGTACGGCAGTATGTACGTATATTGGTATTAATAAAAATTATAACAGCCTTATGATATTGTTGTCGTAGAACGCGAGTCGTCTGCAGGGGCAATGTGGGTAACAAAAAACCATGTACCGGACGTTTTTTACGAGCCCGAAATTTACCGACCGGAGTTTATTGCGCCGGAGTAGTGGGTTTCTTTATTTCCAGCTCGTTTTTCTTTTTGTTAGTTTCAAAAATCGTGTAAGTACAGTGAAAAATATTTCATCTGCCGCCGCCGCCAGCCGTGACTGGCGACTAGTGTACGATATCGGCGCCTGGGGAGATGTGTCCGAGAAGCGAAAAATACACACAAACGCGCAGAGAGGAAACGGTCCTCGGCGGGGAAGGCATAGGGGGAGGGGAACAGCAATAAAACAAACGTAATTTTAATTTTTAAAAGCTCCTCCAAGCGCCGACGAGGCAACCAGCGTACTTACGGCCGCAGTAGCAGTAGTTATATACTCGCGGCCCGGTGACTTTTATATTAAAAGTCCGTCTGCCGCGGTCGAGAAAAGCGGAGATTTACATTTTTTATTAAAATATTTTATAAACAAAGTATAATTTATATCGGCGATGGCACTCGACGCCCGAGAAACGTTCGCAATAATAATTGTTGCCGCCCGGTTTTTCCGCACCGCGCAATGCCATTTGTATCTACACAGGAAAAATCCCTAATTTTTTTTTTTACCCTTTCGGTTCTGTATAAATACCATTACGCGCTGTGGTTATATAACCAAAGTCATCACCGCCACCACCGCCGCACCGTACGGATTGGCACAGTGTTATATTTGTTTATTTTTTTGTTCACTATTTGCTGATAATATACATAAACGAAAAATAATATACTTTGGATTTATGCTCCGTGGCCGTATTAAAAGTGCCATAATATATTTTCCAATATAAACTTTGTGCAGCCACTATAGTTATTACTTATTACTATTGCGGCGGTAGTACTTTTACTCGAAACGATTTATGGACTTCTCGGATTGCGCAACACTCGGTCACTGATATTATTTTTTATCTTTATTATTACTGTATGTTTTTGAATTTACAAAAAAATCGCTCTGGCGTTAAGTGCTCAGTTAATATAATCATATGCTGTAATATATAACGCGATTAATTGTACAATTTTACTTATAAACTCGCTGAAGACGAGATAGAGAAGTTTTGAAATTATTTTACTCATAAAAATTCATTAGTAATCATTAAGATAAGCATTCTAAAAATATAGTATTATAATGTCGAAGATCAAGTGTAACTTTCAAATCACTCATAGGCCTTAGGTTAAAAAAAAGTGATTTCAAAATATATGCTTTTTTTTTTAATTAAAAATATATTAGTTGTTCTTCTATAGTTTTCAGTAATTTTTATACTTAATAATTATATTACATTTTTAGTTTTAATTATTTTTATTAGTATATTTAGTCGATACAGCCTTGAAATTTACACCAACAATATATATTTATCACAAAACGGTTTCCTCGGGACATAACTGGTCGATTCAATAAAAATGAATATAAATTAACATAATCGCTGGGATACAATCATCAAGGCTTATATTATTTCTGCCCTTTGAACTGTGTTGTTTCTATTTGATTAGGTACGCTGATCGACGGTCATCATCTCGTCCGGGATTCTTGTTGGTTATAAAAATTGTGACTCAAACTTTCTGATAGGCACTGCACTTACAGCTGCCCTCCCTCTCCGTGGTCGTCTCTATACACACCGTCGACAACATTTTGTTCCATTTATGGCAAGTAGCCTCCTATCCACGCGGCAAATTTATAGCCTCCTATTAGAATAACACGTGGCCCGTACAGTCTCAGCGACCTATCCTATGCGGTGCGGCGCGGTCGTTTACAACAAGAGATCGATAGAATTTTTTTTTTTTTTTTGTCAACATTATAATACGCGCCGTTGAATTATATCTAACGTAACGCAGCCATAGTACGAGAAAATAACGAGTCGTTTTTATAAAATAAGTAAAGGATAAAAATCGATACAATAATAACATGTGTAGTATCTACAGGGTGTACCAAACTCGATAAGCAGTTTTTCAATAAATCTATAATTATAGATTATAATGTAATATATTGGTTGTAATCAATACTAATAGAGTGATTCGCTTATAAAGTCTTTATTGTACAAAGTATACAAATGCGGGCTGGAATTACTTTGCTAATTGTAATTTTTGTCGACCTCAAAATATGAGATATGCATGTCACGAAAGCGGTATAAGATAAATGTGGTCCAAAGCCAGTTTATTTGTCATACATGGATAATTACAACATAATAATATAACCAGAGAACGCGCCGTACGAAGCGAACGCGAACAGTCCACATATAATTATCTCCAACACGTCTCGAGCACTGTATTATTATTGAATAAAAAAATGCAAATGCTTAAGAGCGTGCCGGCCGTCCAGTGCCAGTGTACATGTTATATTTAATGTACAACAAAACGTTTCGACACCTGCAGTTGCATCGGTCGCAACGAAACCGGACAACTGTATATACTTAGGGAAGTGCATCCGTATGTGAAAAAATTTAAATAACTGTCGGACGAATTCAAAATAAATAACACGCCCACACGATGGATAAAAAAACACCACCTGTACGCATTTGAAAATCAACAGTCATCGTTTTTTTTTCCTGTTTTTTTCCCTAGCATTTGATACAAATCAACAGCCTTCGCTGTCGGTATTGTTTTACGGACAAGTGTTAATCATGGAAATATTAATCGTCACTATGTAAACGATAGTGGTACACCTGCTTGTGTGTATAACAATAATTGTGGGTACCACCGCCTTGGGAGTTGGGAGGAACGCTCGCTGATCTACAGTAAGATTTACTAAGACACATAAAAAAAACAAGCCGACGAGCGGCGGTATAATCCTCTTGTATTTTTTTTTTAATCGAAAGGGTTGAAAAGAATGTTAAAGTTAAAGCCAGCTCATGCGGCATATAGGCAATTGTGCTGCGGCTCTCCATACAAAAAATATGTATATTATATTGCGGAATAACGTTAAACAAAATCATAAGAAGGGTCAATAATACAACAATAAAGATGAACAACACTGTATCTTTACCCTTTTCACCGTTTTTTAATGAATATCGCGTAGTAGTCTTTTTTTCATATATATACACATTTTTTTCTACCAACCCTTTTATACTCTGGTTTTTACATTGGTCTTACGGTTTTTTTTTCTTCTATTAACGCACTCGAGGGATAAAAAAAACAACATAATATTTTTATAATATAAAATACATTTAAATGAGAGTACTTCGCTCGAGCGTGTCCATTATGATATCCTCGCTGTTAACATCATCATATAGTATTATAATAATTGAACGACTCGGGCAGTAAATCCGAAAAAAATAATTGCGCGCTAAAATCCAAACGGAACACGGCGCAAAGTTTAACGACCCGCCTGCACGATATTATTATGATGTTACAGGCGGCATAAGCCGCGCGTTGTGCGTTTCTATTTTTGTTTTGTATACATCTGCGATTGGCGGAAATCGTATGCGTTGTACATGGAATAGCAAAAAGTGCACCCGGTACATACGGTATACTTATTAATATTATAGCGAAGACAGTCCGACTTGTAATATAAATAATAAACAGAGAAGCGAAATCAGTGCGTGTGAACTCGAATAGAAAACGTTGGAAAAAAATTACCACAACGTCTTGAGTTTGCGTGAGGAAAATGCAGACAAAAAAAAAAAACCAAAAATAATTTCATATTTACCGCAGATCACCCTTTCTCGGTGGCGACAAAATCGTAGCCGTCAGCCGCATAAATTAGCGATAAATAATATTTATTAACGCGTCTGGACGTTTGCGGTGGAAAAAAAAAGGCGCAAACAAAAATATAATGTGTAATTGTGATTTATCTATACTTATAAATTGCGTAGACGTGGTTGAAGAATTATTTCGGAAAATAAAAAAAAAATACATATATTATTTTTACAAAGGTATACATCAAGTGTAGGAACAATTGACTGTGGCATGACACAGAGATGAGTGTCGATATAAACATAAAAACCTTCTATGCGCTATTTGTCCTACGGTGGCTTATAACAATTATAAAATCAATTAATTTCACTAACGCCTTTACAATTGTTATAAAACAAATGATCAACATAAGCAGATTATCGATAAAAGCATCAATTGTGTTTTCGTCTAACTCTAAAAGGAAGTATAGGCATTGATGTTCTTTAAAATTATTTTAATATCACAGCACATCATCATCATTCCTAAAAAAATCATTTCTAAAAAAAAAAAATGCATAGATTTATTTTTAGATCCTCCTCAATAGAATGTGCCAGAGTGGGGCAAACGGATTTTCAAAAATGTGGTTCTGGGTAAAAATATTTGATGAAAAATTTGTTTTGCAAGCCTTTGTATAGCGCCGAGTCGGTGTTTTTCAGAGTGCTTGAACGGGTACTGTGCCTAGTAATAACACGCGAGCCGCCGACGAATCTCGAAATTATAATGAAGGAAATCGAATTGCGCGTAAACTCTCTGCATCTTGGCAGGTCATTACCGCGCCTTCGAAGAGAGTTACACGAAAGAGTGAAAAAAAATTGTATTACTCGTGCGGCGCTGGTGCTCCAGGGCGAAGAGCGATGGCCACCTATAACGTTGGTGGTGGTGATGGTGGTGGTGGTCGGGGGAGGTAATAAGAAGAAAGTCCATTTTTCCCAGTTTTAATTACAGTCGCGATCTTAGCAGCAACGCGGCTGCTATATAGCATATTTGAAGAAATAACAAAATTAACTAAAATTGTTTACGTGTATAATAATATCGAGACACGTCTTGAAGAAACCCTTTTAGTTTTTCCTATTAACTTTACTAAACGCGCCCGTATCGTCGTCGCTGCCAGTGTAATGATAATAAAAAATTAATGTATTTATATTTATTATGATTTACATTTTTGGTGCGTTTCCGTACGTGACGGTGCACTACAATTTGACGTTGCATTACAGCCGTGGTGGTGTTTTCCATTGCTGTAGCCTGTACCTGTTAAAACTACCTATACAATAAAAAAGACGGAAGTGTTAAGGAAAAAAAATGTACACCGCAACGAACGACTGGCCTGAATTATTTTTTTTCATCTCGAGATTAGGTTTTATCGTCGTGATCGTTTAAGTGACGTCGTCGTCATCAAACAGCACTGCAAGGCGACGTCACTGCGGTCATAAAATTATACATTTCAACAGAAACCCGTAAGGTGGCCTCGGCGAGAACCCAAAAACCCTTTTACCCCGAAAACTAGGTCAATGTCGCCGCCTCCTCGTGTATGTTATGCGCGTGCAACACATGCACTTCCTCGGCGACCATTTGGTAAGCGAGACGGTATTGCAGGAGAACTCGATTAAAATAAAAACGGTGTACCGTTAAAGTGTTTTTACAAAATGATGGCATTTTTTTTTAAATTTTTGATCGCAGACCTTAACCTTAGTCCAGGTTTACGCTAAGAACAACGCTTTACAGATATCACACATCATGTTTTCGCTTTTCGTCGAACCGCGTTAGAACAAACAGCTACTATTTACTATTGCGACACACTCAAAGTCACTATATAGCGGCACACGCGTTGCCCTCGGTGTGGACCGAACCTGTTACGATATTATAAAATTGTCGTTAATGTGGTTAACATACCTTTGCCGTGTGGGTGCGCAGACTGGACTCGGTGGCGAAACCCTTGCCGCAGATGGTGCAGTGGAACGGCCGGTTCTTGGCTCGTTCCACTTGGGCGTCATGATTACGGAGGTGTTGTTGCAGGTTGGACAATTGTATAAAAGCTCGACCGCACTCGGCCAAGTGACACCTGTAGGGTCGTTCGCCTGTAAATAATAATAATAAAAAAAAAAGTTAAGCTTCAGCATTTATCTGTATAAAGTCGAAAAAATAACACCAGGTGTAACTTGTAATGATTGAAAAGGCAGCCCAATCATGTTGATGTTCACTATCTGAGAAGACCATTTTTGCGGAAATTTAAAAAACAACAATTGTCTTTTAGCTTTACACGTTGAGGCTTAAATATTTAAACGATAGAGTCGGTTGGGACTGCAGTTATAAAAAAAATAATTGTTGATAAGCATAAATAAAATGACCGGTTACAGAGTTTACGGGTGTTATCGACCTACTATACAAACACAACACAATAACCGGTTACCGGCATAGAGTTTTTCATATGTAAATCGGGCCCTTGTAAATAATGGTACAGTAATATAATAATAGTAGTAATAATAATAGTAATAATAATAATAATATATGCAAGCGGTCTTTTGCGGAAGGAAACGAGAGAGGGCACGTCCTATTGTTTTAACACGTATTACGTATACCTGGTCGGCATTTTTTTTTTCATCTTCCACTTCTATAATGATATCCAACTCACACACATACATACGCCTTGAGAAATAAGTAAAAACGTATCCAATTAGATATTCTTTTGTATTGTTTTTTTTGCCGCTGTGTCTATCAACGACGTCGACGACACGTTATGGTAATTTTCACCCGGATGCGTTTTTTTTCCACCACTCCTATATACATGCCCTTCATTCGTAACCACCCTTAACCCTTTTTCGCACTGCAGCGATCCCCGTCCATGCTATTGTTTTAACGCTTTTATTATAATACTAGTATACTGTAGTCACCGTATAATATTGTAATTTTTAATATTTTTTTGTTTTACTTCTTTTTCGTCGTGTCTTCTCCGTACCAACACATTGTACTCTGTACAGCTAATATATAACCATAAACCGTGGGAACCTGGCCGAGATATTTAGAACGATGGACCAGTCTGTATGAGAATATTGTATGTATATATACATGATTATTCCCCTCTGTAATTTCTGCCATCCCTAAACTTAATCTAGTTGAAAATGACACGAGAATCACACGCATGCAGAAAATAATATACGCGTTCGGATTGAGAGGGGGTGAAATATATTATTTTTGTATTATTCGACAATAATAATGAAAAAATAACCCTTTCCCTCTATACTTGCTGCGGCGTAAAGCTCTATACATAAAAACGTTTACAACGAATGAGTTTTTGCCAGTACGATTTTCGGAAAAACGAATAATAATAATATGTCGTCCGAGCGGGACAGGTCTACCGGGAGAGTGGAGGGTATGGAAGCTGGGGGAGTGGGAGGGTTGAAAAACGAGATTTATATACGTCGGACACACATAAATCGCATAAAATTCGTATATTTTTCGCCGGTATGTCATTTTTGTGTATGTAACATAAAACCACACACAAGCATGGTCCACCGTCAGTTTTTTACTGGTATTATTATTATTTTATATTATTTACAGCCCTCCGACGCATTTCAGTGTGTTTTTTTGGACGGCAAAAAACTAATAATTCGGATTCGCCCGAGTGATTTAAAACAACACGGGACTCGCGTTCGAAATTTCATACGTCATTCTGTCGATTGGCTTGGCAAATGTTGTATTTGTTTGTTTTTTTTGTCATTGTATTATAACCGTGCTCGACAGTTTTGTTATACACACTGCCAGTGAACGTTTTGCGGTAGATATCATATTATAGCACAAGGACTTAGGGCGTCCAATATGCTTGATAAGAACGAGTGGGGTGTTTGGATAGATTTTTTTCTCCAATAAAGTTTCCCCACGCTAAGAGAATCCAGCGGCGGCAGCAAAAATAACAATAATTGTTTGAACAGGAAACCAATGCGACCGAGAACGATAAATAATTGAATTTAGTCGCACTTTTTTTTCTTTCCCTACAACAACCCGTTGATGGCACAGCGTTAAAATGTCGAGGAAAAAAAAGGTCCGAAGACCTTTTATTATTATTTTTATTCGCGGTTCTGTTACCGCGTGTATTTAACCCGACGTGTTACACTTCTCACTTTTTAACGGTAAAAAAAAAACTGCCGGTAACCTTTTTTTTTCCAACTCGAGTGTAAACCGTTTAAATCTCAGTGGACGTTACCGCCGTCGTTAAACGGCAGCGGGCAACCCCGTTTAAACGGCGGCCGCCCATATAATTTATGTAAACTTCATAACCCGTGTTTTTAATTTTTAATGGTTTTTTTTTTTTTTACTTTTTGAGGTTTTTTTCTGAACAAACCTTTTAGACGTTTATGCATTATTCGATAAAGAGTTATCCGTTTTATACTATGCAAGTATAATGAACTCGTTTAGCGTATAATCGTTTTAAAATGCGCGCTACTACACAAAAATAAAATTGTTCTACTTTACAGTATAATAAGAAATACATTTACGATTATCCAGTACAATCTTTTCGATGTCTTCGACGTCAAACTTTAAAAGACGTCTGTGTATACAAGTGGATACCATGTAATGTATACCCGCTAATTATATAACGACTAGGTAATAGGTTTGCTTACATAAACTTAACTGGAGAGAGGTTCACTTTATCACGAATTTTAACAAATGTAGCGATACTAAATAACTAATCACAATAGAAATTAATTATTGTTTTAAAGTGCTTTTATTTTTGAACACTACAACACAAAAAACTATTGTTTAAAATCATAATTTATTATTTGTATTTAAAATGTTTCAACAATTCAATGTTTTTATCTAAAGTCTTAGAACTAAATTAAATTATGTATTTAATGAACATTTTTTATGAGTTTGTTATAGGTTTACATAGTTACATTAATTTATTTACAAATGTTTTAAAAGTGTTATCGTTTGAGGAGTATTCTTCGGCGGGGAAGATGTCGACTCTTAAGAAAAAAATTAATTAATTTAGCTTTAGGGGCATTATAATTGTTTAGTATAAACATCTGTTGTGGTGTCCATTATTTTATAGTCCCTGAAAGTATTATGTTGCTCATCACCAATTATTATTGCACATGTTATGTATTTGATAAATTAAATAATTATTATTAACAATAATGTACACAAACATAATATTTATTTATTTCTCCTGTCGGAAAGCGCCTGTATCTGATAAATGTCGGTTGTGCCCATAAACGACTTGTTTTTCCGTTAACATCCTATCCGGTCTGTAGAGTAAGCACGTTATACGAGTGTCGACAAGTAGTAGAAAAAAGGTAATACAAAAAATACATATAATATATAATATGTAAATGTATAAATTGCAAAAAAAATTCTCGTCGATAAAATAAAGAAAGAAAAATGTGTCGATTTAATCCGTTTGGAACGTGACTGATAATTTATTGCCTCGGCGGGTGTATATAGTTAAATCTACATACTTAATGAACTTTGTTCGGTTTTCATTAACTAAACGCGCCTCTGTGTGTGTGTGTTGATAAATTCCGTTGTAAATCATCGTTTCTCAACTGCTCTATAACCTCATACATCTGCGCGCACAGACTTAACAGACGACCTGCCTTAAGACTACGTAGAATACTTCGACGTAAGACATAGACCTTTAATGTGACCCTGTTCGTACGACGGCAGCAGACTTTCTACGCTTGGGTTGTGTCACAAGTACACGCGGTTGTGCATCGGGTGACTTGGAACTCTGCCCACTTTTGCCGTCTCTGTCCATCTCGACTTGTATATTATTATATATTTATACATATAAGTATATAGTTGTACATATAATACACGGTTTAACTCGACGACGCATAGCAGTGACCGACCGCCCTAATATTATATTACAAGTTATAATAATTATTAGTATTTTATAGTGACAGTACAGGCTCACTAACAGATATACGCAGGTCTAAAGTATGACAAGGAACGGATTTAGAATAGATACAGTACCAGTATAGAGGAAATCTAACCTAGCCCGAGAAATACTTGCCACACAGTTGGTTCGGGGACTGTATGAGGCGGTGTTCGTTTATTTTAATAGTAAAATTGCACTCGTGTTAAAGTTAAACAACATCTCTAATACATTTATTTACATATATCTAACCATGTTTTACCTAATTCTAATAATTAAAAGTTGTAAGCACATTTTCTTTGAAATCGAACGTTGAGCTTAAGTATAATAACGAGACATTGATGTCACTAATTAGAATTAGTATAATAATAGCATTATTGATTACATTGTAATCAATTATTTTTTGCACATCTAGGTATAATAATTGAAACGTGTTACCGGGCTTTCAATAGTATTCGGGTCATTTCATTATAATGAAACAACATTTTATTTATCAAATAATAATAATAATAATTTTTTTTACACAAGGTCATTGTTTGAAGTATTAAATCCTAAAACGTGATCAATTTGTGTGTTTTAAATTGCCAAAATCGTGTTTTTGTTAACTTCAAAAAAACGTATAGCATGCAACATTTTTAAATTTGCCTTATGAATACATATGGGATATAATATCTTTCGTTTAATGAAAAAATTATCATTACAGAACCATTATATATTTTTTTGTTTTTCCATCAATTGTGGTCGTTAAGATAAAAACTTAATAAGCTAAATTGACGTCAGAGCATCTAAATATACCCAAGCCCTTTTTTTTTAAGAAATTTGAACTTGATTATGTATTTATTTTTACTAGACCGCGATTTTTTATTGCCCGCGTATCGACTATGTAAGCCCGACCAAAATACATTACAATAAAAAACACCCTTGTTCAATGTTTTTGTTTTATGGTTTACAACGTTTATTACACAGAAACGTGTAATACATAAATAAAAACTTAGAGAGAAGAGGGTTTTTTTTCGTTGTCCAAATTAATACCGACAATAAATTTTCGAACGGGGTAGCGATCGGTTATTTTGCGGTCTCGGCGAACGGGCGGCCTGTACAGTAGGTTTAAGTAGGGTAATTTTTAACAGAGTGGTTTTCGCACCTCTTGAAATACGTGACCGGAATCCCATTACAAAGTACTCGACGTTTGCAAAGAGGAAA